TATATATATATATATATATATATTGAAAAGTAAGTAATTCCATTAATACTAAAACCAAGTACAAGAGATAAATAATTGGCTAGTCAAAACTGGTAACTAACTAAGTAAACTGTAGAGAGGGGAGAGGACCCTGGCCATCACCCTCAACTAAGCCACCTAGAAAGAAAACCAGATGACTGAAGCCAAACAATCAAATATGTACAACCAGTATTACAAATAAATCCGCTCCTATACATCTGAAATTTTCATTGTTTACTCGCATCAATACCCCAATTTGATAGAATAGTATTGTTTCCAGATTTCCAGTAGCAGGTTCTGATTATAACATTAATGTCTTCATATAGTCTTCTAAAAACCATAACTTTATGCATCTTTTTATCATGAAATATTCTGCGGTTTCTTTCTTGCCAAATATGCCAAACTGTTGCACTCAAAACCAATCTAGCCAAAATATAAATTCTATCTTTCGCTTTGAATTTGTTTTGTGTTTCTATTGCTTCAGTTCTCAGGTCATGAATTGCCATGGCATCAGTATGCAACTTCATTTTACAGAGTTTCCATATATAGGCAGAAAAAGGGCATTGGAAAAATAGATGATCTCTAGATTCCTTCATACCAGTACATAGAACACAATCTTCTGTCGAGGTGATCCCAAATCTGAAAAGTCTGTCTCTAGTAGCAAGTCTATTAAGTAAGCTTTTCAACAAGCAGCAGGCCATCTTAGGGACAGAGCAAGGAAACCACACCACATTAAAAAGCTCAAATTTTGGGTATAAAGTCCTAACCTGATTCCAGGCAGATGCAAAAGAAAATTTACCTTTAGGATTAGGTAGCTAAGAACAATGATCCTCCTTTCCAGAGATTTGGATATTAGATATAGATTGCTTCAGAGGGATGAGACCTGGGAGAGAAAATTGCCATTGAGAATTATGAATGATATGAGAAACAGTCCAGTTTTCTGTACCTGAGATATGTGGATTAAAATTATGAAGAATGTCTATAATTCTCCCTTCTTGGATCCAAGGATCAAACCATAGTGAAGTATTCTCACCATTACCAATTGCTTTTCTAATACAATTCAATGCTGTAGATTTAAGTCTTGTTAAATGCTTCCAAGTTCCCGAATCCAGAATATTTACAGGGGCATCCCATAAGCTTTTTCCTTTGATGTATCTGACTGTCATCCAGTTAGACCATAGTGTAGAGTGATTAAGAAGTCTCCATATCATTTTTAAAGCAGCAGCACGACAGAGATCCTCCAACTTCCTTAGCCCAAAACCTCCTTCATGTTTTGGTCTACATACCTCCTTCCAATTTATTGCATGAAGTTTCCCTTTCCATAAAAAATTAGCAAAAATAGCTTCTAGACTGTGTATAGTAGATTGAGGGAAATTATAAACAGAGTACCAGTAAGCAGCAGTGCTGAATAAAACAGATTTAATAAGCTCAATCCTCCCTGCAAAAGATAATGAGTGAGTCATCCAACCCTCAATTGCATACCTGATTTTATCAATCAGAGGAGAAAAATTCTTTGCTTTCGGATAATTGATGGATAATGGCAGACCCAAATATTTAACAGGTAGAGAACCTCTTGAAATCTCCACTATAGAGCATAATTCATTTTTGTTTCTGCAACCTCTACTGAAAAAAACCTTACTTTTGCTTTTGTTTATATTCAGTCCAGTGTTAATTGCCAGAGAGTCTAATAGATTGTTAATACCTTGAAAAGATCTTTTATTTGCTCTGCAGAAGACCAGCATATCATCAGCAAATAAGAGGTGAGAAACTTGAAGGTCTTTATTCTTCTTAAAATTTTGAATATATATATATATATATACCCATAAGCTTTTTCCTTTGATGTATCTGGCAGTCATCCAGTTAGTCCATAGTGTAGAGTTATTAAGAAGTCTCCATATCATTTTTAAAGCAGCAGCACAACAGAGATCCTCCAACTTCCTTAGACCAAAACCTCCTTCATGTTTTGGTCTACATACCTCCTTCCAATTTATTGCATGAAGTTTCCCTTTCCATAGAAAATTAGCAAATATAGCTTCTAGACTTTGAATAGTAGATTGAGGGAAATTATAAACAGAGTACCAGTAAGCAGTAGTGCTGAATAAAACAGATTTAATAAGCTCAAGCCTCCCTGCAAAAGATAATGAGTGAGTCATCCAACCCTCAATTGTATACCTGATTTTATCAATCAGAGGAAAAAAATTCTTTGCTTTAGGATAATTGATGGATAATGGCAGTCCCAAATATTTAACAGGTAGAGAACCTCTTGAAATCTCCACTATAGAGCATAATTCATTTTTGTTTCTGCAACCTCTACTGAAAAAAACCTTACTTTTGCTTTTGTTTATATTCAGTCCAGTGTTAATTGCCAGAGAGTCTAATAGATTGTTAATACCTTGAAAAGATCTTTTATTTGCTCTGCAGAGCGTCTTGTGAGGCGAGAAACGAGGAAAAGGTAAGATCTACGACGATTAGCGACGAGGAGTCTTTTCTCATCAGTTTTAGCGGCTTGCACATGTGATAAGGTAAGATCATCTACATCCAAACCAATCCTCATAGTGTTTAATGATTATAAAAGTATTTAATCAATGTTATCACGCTTAAGGCTTAACCTCATATGAAAAAGATAAGATTTTTGATGATAAATCTTAACCCAATGGACATAAGATTTTCATGCATATGCCAAGTATAAAATTTTGTTTTAACGTCATGATATGTACAATGGACATAAACACTTTTGTACATAAAAGAATGTGTGTCTTGACAGAGTAGTCGACTACTAAGCTTAGTAGTCGGCTACTCGTGCACAGTTGAGTATAATAGAAACTGTGTGTTTATAGAGTAATTGACTAATGTTCTTAATAGTTAACTACTGATACTGATATATGTTATTACAGAGTCTGGATGGACTCAGTGTAGTCGACTACTAAGCCTAGTAGTCGACTACTAAGGCTGTTACCTGAATTTTTGTTTTGCATCTGTTTGAGATATATTTGCTGGTTTCGATCCGCACTTCTTTATACGTTAATTTATGAATAGTATAGTAGCACACACATGGGTATGCTAAAAGGAATTATGTTAGGTTTTGACCCGATTAATTTGAGAAAGAGTTTAATACCTATTATACACACACCTTCTAGATATCGTTGATGAGCTCAGTTCACTACTACGGGGGTAGTGCATCGATATTTTATTTATACATGCCATTATGTCGGGTTAAGGATACTTTATCTAGCAGTCCATCCCGTACTAGGGTGCGATGAGGGTTGTGAGCCATATTTCTAGGATGCCTACTTGGTAGTCCGTCCCGCACTTGTGTTACGTATAGAGATGTGATGATACTACTTGGTAATCCGTCCCGCACTCGTGTTACGTACAGAGATGCGATGAGATGTTTCTGACTCATTGCTGAAACATGTGCCGATATTCATTCTATCTTCTCAATGACAGTGGAAGATATTATGAATACGATATGTTGATGTCTTTACTTTCTTTTACTGCTTTTCTTTATTTTCTTAGTAAGAATCAATAATTAGCGATTCATAATTTAAGACAAAAAGTATATATACGAGGGTTTCCTTGTTTGGATTATTTCGTTCGACGTACCAGTCTCATGTTGTGGATTTCTAATTGTTGATTTCATTTAGTTTATTTATCTTTAGTTCGGTATTAATGTTTAGATGTTTACAATTCGAGACATATGGTATATACTGTTGGCCTTCTTGTTTTGATGATGTTTAACAAACAATTTACCACTAATGTTGTTTGTCTAGTATTTGTGTTTTCGTATTTATTGTAGACAAACAACATAGTTGGAGGATGGATGGAATAGAGCTTCAACGATGATATCCAAAGGAGGTTGGCGGAATGTCGGTGAAGCCTTGCTATTCAAAGTTCAAGATCCAAGTTAAAGCTTCATCCGCAAGATTACCAAGATAGAGCTTCGTTGAAGATCAAGATTGCTTGGGTAATTTAGTTTAGGAATTTATATTATGTGTGTTAGTACTTTAAGCTCAATCATATACACACATACACGTTTTGGTTTTTGTATATATATAGTTATATATATACATATATGTTTTGGTTTGATAGTTTTCAAGTTTTACTATGAAACAAATGAATAGAATTGGAAAATACTATTTTGTTTCATGTTTATATGCCTATATATGATTTCACCTTTAACAAGCTTATATTTAATGAAATCATATTTAGTGTTTTGAATATATTGCATAGAATATGCAATTTAATGAAAATATTGTATTTCTAGGTTATAGACTTCATAACAACATATTATATCTTTTATCAAGTCTATACAATCATTTCATAAGGTTTCAAAATGTTGTTTAAGTCAAAATATCAAAATATCAATTTTCAGGTTTTCATGTTTTGAACTATTTTGTAAAATGATGATATTTTTCATTTGGGAAGTCCTTTTTCGAAACCAGTCATTGTAGCATGTTTATTATCATGTCTACAATCATTCCCCAAAGTTTTACATTTTTTGGAATTTATTTGATATTTTTAAACAGCTTTTTAAAATCAGCAAATCAGGTACCATGCAGCAGAGAGTTGGTCGGTCGACCGGTCCGGTCGATCGAAAGCTCCATCGGTCGACCGCACCGGTCGACCGGATAAGTGTTTGCTTGATTTCCTGTTTTCGACCTGGATAACGGTCGACCGAACTTTCCATCGGTCGACCGAATTTTTCCATCGGTCGACCGACGGAATTTTCGGTCGACCGACAATATAGCCGTTGCTTTTTAACGGCTCTTTCTCTGAGCTGTTTGCTGGGGTTTTTGGTCATTTTGTTTTGGGGGTTTTTGCTGAGATTTCTAGTGGGTATATATACCCCATTGCTGATGTCTTTTCAAGTGAGCCAAGAGAGTTTAAAAACAAGTTTAAGAGAGTTTTAATCAAGGGTTTATGTTTGGTTTAAGTGTGTTTATAAGCTTTTAAGCATTTGAGTGTTTTGGTTTTGTGAATCACTTCCACAAGAGCTTGAGGAGATCATCTATTGGTGTTTGAGCATCCAACTCTTCTCCTTCCACTCTTGATCTATTGAGAAGTTTTCTAAACTCAATCTAGCTTCATATTTTATATTGTTTGATTATCTTTTTATTAAGCTAGTGTTCATATTGAGTTTAGTTGATTTTATTATCTCTTTGTTCACACACAACCTATTGAGCTTATTGTATTTACATTCATAGTATAATTTAGGGTTGTGGGTTTGTGACATTGAGAGTGAGCTTAATTGAGTTCTCACCTTGTTTAGAGAACAAATCATTTGATTTATATTGTGCTTATTGTGAGGATTCACTTGTAATACACTTGTACACCGAGAGAAGTGTGTGGTGAGAGACGGGGTCGAATCCAAGAGGAGTGGCGTCGGTTGACGTGCCTAGGGAGAGGTTGTAACCGAGCACTTGAGGAGGAGGACACGGGCTAGGACCAACACTTAGTGTGTGAGGTGTGATTACATAGTGATTATATTGTGAGGTGTAAACGTTGTTCGGGTGAACGTAGAAAACCCGGTTGTGATAGTGGAGATCTCCTCGAGGTGAGGAGCGGGGACGTAGGTCGTGGGGACCGAACCTCGTAAACATATCGTTTTGTTTGTGATTACATTGGCGTACTTTTACATTCGTGCTTATTATTCATATTGCCTTTGTCAATTGCTCATTGTTGTTTTTCCCTCTATCTAGTT